TTAGTTTTTACTAATCTTGGGGCTTTAGTAATAAACTGCAAGAGAATTCAGCTAGTGACCACCAGGTGGAGTGTCTAAAACGTTTTCTGTCAAGGCTATGGTACTGTGGTATTTCCAATACCGGGTTTAAATTCAAAATTTTCTCTAAAAAGTTTTGAAGATGAGTTAAGAAACAAATATGGAAATTCTGCCAGCTCCAAGAGAAGTTTGAGCTATAGCTTGTAAGCCTAGCTGCTGTAATCAGGCTTTTCAAGTCATGTTACAGTTGGTAAATAAAGTTAGACATGCAAGTAATGATCAATAGAAGAATCTCCTTTTGATGCTAGTGTGATTTGTGATAAAGGCATGTTAATTTAGGAGTTTAATAAGGCATTTGTGAAGGTTAACTTTAGTTATCCAGAGTCTAATATCTTGTCTGTGCTTTCATAGCAGAATTATACCTCCTGTCAAACCTTTTGGGATCCAAATTGGTATATTCTTGCAAGATGTCTCTAACTGTAAATCTCTATTTTCTTTCTTCTCCTATTAGTGCTCTCTCCAGGACTCCCAGCTGACAGTTCATATGCTGTTTCTCATTTATGTTTCCATGTAATGCATCATCAAATATTCTGCTAAGAATCTGATACTTTTTCAAATCTCTTACTGGCGTGATTTGCAATTTTGCAAGAACTCAGCAAGATGTAGAGTGTAGATAGCTTTGAGCATATTTGTGAATTTAATTAAAAGTGAAAATTCTTTATAAGGTAGGAATATGAGGAAATCACATGGAAAGCTTGTGGGAAAGCAAGTCGAATAACAAAATAGATAATAAATTTTCCTCTCTCTTGGTGGAAAAGTAATATATGCAGAATATGTCAAAGTATTCTGATATATAACAGAAAGTTACAGGAAATAAAACCAGCAACACTTCACACTTCAAACTTGTTGCCATGGTAGTCGGCACAGCTGGTTTTGCACATTTAGGTTGCTTTCACTTAGGAAGAATATTATATGATACAGTCAGAAATACATGAGGTTTCGCTTAGTAAAAAGCTGCCCAAGTTGATTTTAGTGCATATGTTTCAGATTCATCAGTGTGTTGAGGACTTCACAGCTGCAAAAACTTACTCAAAAGTCAGTGCTTTGCAAAGTCTTTAGTTAACAGAAGAACGGAGACTACATGAGAACTTGGGAGCCAAATTCTGCTTTTATTTTCTATTACTGATGCTGTGTGATAAAGCTAGTGAAAAGGAGAAGGTTTCCAGCCTGACCACTGTACTGCTTTCATTTTTAATAAGCAAGAAGTAACTTTTTCAATTATGTACTTGCCCATAGCATGAAACCAGTGTAATTGAGCCTTGATTTCCAACCAATGCTACATTCCCTTGAGTTCTTTGGCATAGGTGTCATATTTTCCTGGTTTTCTTCAGTGAAATATTTGTGAAAAGGGCTGATTCTGATGCCTAATTGGCCTGTTTTGAACCAGTACAAACCTGGTGACTTGAATGATGGTATCTGATCAGTTGAGTTGACTTGCATTTGTGCCGAAGATCAGCCGTTGCTAAACTGTAGACCAGTACACTGGCAACTTATTAATGAAGTGCATTTTCACTTAAGATCTTCCAAGTCTGTTTTACATAAAAAGGATTTTACTTATCAAGATGAGAAACATGGCCTTTTTACATGTAATGGCTACAGCACAGAACATTGAGAAACGAAGCATCAGGAAATTATTGCTCGCTGTGTTCGTTTAGAAATGCTGACTCTCCAAATTAGACGTTACAGGGGACAAATTAATAATTTTGAATGTATAACCACATAGGAATTTTCATATATGCAGGGTAAACTAACTGATCCACGGTGACTGATAATTTTGATCATATGTGACTACTACAATGAATGTATTATCAAAGATGTTAAAACACTTAGAGCTAAATTGCCTTTGCGGTGTTAGAGCTATATATTATTACATCTGTGATGTTGGGGAACCAAGGGAAGTTCTGCAGGGAGTTGATTTCTATTCTCTCGTGTGGCAGCGCAGGGAGATGATGGGATGGGGACACGAACAGTGGAAGCATTCGTCACTGACTTGTATTTTTGTGGTGTAGTGAGTCCATCCTTTTAGCTGAAAGATTCTTCATGCTGAAAAGGTTGTAGCTCAGAGGGTAGGAGGGCGGAGGAGTGATATTCTCATGTTGGTTTGGGGGATTTACTTTCATCCCAGCCAACTTCATGCTGACAAATAGTGAGATGTGAATGATGTCAGAACTGTGATCGGGAAAAAAATGATAATTCAGTACGCCCTGATTTGACATTCAAGTCACGTAGTTTGTGATGGCATAATGCAATGAAGCAACATTGGTTTAACGTTATCTACACTTGGATTTTTGTCAAGAAGGGCAAAAAATCACTTACCAACCAGACAGACTTTCATGTTTCAGCATTTTATTAAGAAAATTGTATGAGTCACTAGTTCTGTTATGAAGCTTTACATTTCTGTAGTTTTAAGACATGATATGGAAGATTCTGACTCCTCATTTTACACAGAGACAGAAATTTTCTAGTGGTTGCCTGCTTTCATTAGCTGAACATGAGCTCTTCAGAGACCACCTCGGTTTGTGTCCCAGACAGAAACTTGTGAAACGAGGAGCTGCACCAGCTCAGGGACCAGGAACCTGTCTGCAACTAGCCGTGTTAATGACTTCAGCAGAAACAGAGATGAACATTTTTGTTAGTTTATTGATTTGACTTAACTGGCTCTTCAGCAAGAGGGCTGCAAGCCGTAGATCAACTCAAATATTAAAATTAATTTTGTGAGAAAATAACACTGTTAATAATGGCACTTAGCTTGTGCTTGCTTTCTAATATACACTATATACATACAGTAACATACAGTACACTTCATTGTTCAGAGGTTTACATTTAAATGATTCTTTAAGAAATAATTTAATAAATTCTTTGCAGATTCTTTTTACATCAGTAGACTGATTTTTATCTTGCACATATATACAATACTTTATTCATATTTATTTAAATGTAAAATAGATAAGCCCGTATTTACAAAGTCATCAAAAAACTTCAGGTATTGAAATGGGAAGGCTCCACTTTCAGAACTTTGTGTATTAAAGATCTGTCCATTAAAGTTCCCCTGTATTTTTGATACCATGTATTAGTTGAAGTATTTTAATGCATCTACCCCTTTTTGTATAAATATTGCAAAGTTGTTGGTTTTTGGAAGTTTGCTTTTTAAGAGACACCAAGCTCAGGGTATTGCAAGAGTTCAGAACTTCCTTAAAAGAACAACAGTCACTCATCCCATGGCACAGTATCTTCTCTCTCACCCAACTCTTAAAAATATTTGTTGAGTCTATATTAATCTAATTGATTAAATTCTAAAAGTTGTTTGACTACACGATTGCCATCACATTTTGTATATTCTCCAGGATATATGCAAAAATACTTTCTAAAATAAAAAGGATGTGAGAAGAACTCAAGAGTCAGTCGAGTGAAGGAAATATGAGTGCTGAACAGGATCAAGGATAAAGTAAAAGATGAAGT